GTCTGACTCTGTGACCCCATGGACTGAATCATGCCAGGCTTCCCTATCCTTCACTGTCTCCCAGAGTTTGCTCAAACTCATGTGTGTTGAGTTGGTGATGCTATCTAACCATCTCAACCTCTGCCGCCTCCTTCTCCTCCTGCCCTCAATCTTTCCCTACCTGAACCCACACTCCCTGCAGTAGAAGCATGGAGTCTTAACCACTGGACTGCCAGGGAAGTCCCAAGTATCTGAATTTCATTCCTTTTTAAGGATGAATCATGTTTCATTGTAAGGATGAGCCACACTGTGTTTATCTACTCACCTGTCAGTGAACACTTGGGTTCCTTCCACTTTTTGACTACTGTGAATAAATGCTGCTGTCAACACAGGTGTGCGAATGTCTGTTTGGGGCCCTGCCTTCAGTTCTTCCGGGCTTTTACCCAGAAGTCGAATTGCTGGACTGAATGGTCTTTCTCTCCCAATGGGTGTGGATTTGTAGAGAAATGCATTGTCAGCTTGGCTAAGAGAGATGAACGAGGGTCTGCAGGAGGCCTTGGGGAAAGGTTTCTTGCGTTTACAAAAGCTCCACCTAGAGCTGATGGAGTCAGGAAGTCTGGAGTCTGTGAACGTGGATGAGAACAATCATGTCCTGATGGTCAGTGACTGAATTCAGCAATTCTCTCCGTTATGGGTGTGAGCAGCAAACCCTAGGAGGCCCTGTGGGTTTGCCACCTAGGGTTTCAGAACATACTACATCTATTGCAGAAATTCCAGAATGTCTTTCGGACTCAGACAATGGTATTCTAAAATCTACCACTGGTTATTATTTAACGTATTAAAAGGAAGCACATATTAGCACTTCACCATTAAACAACAGGGTTGACAATATAATGTGATTGGTTTCCTTTGTAATCCCATGTATTTTGTCTCTTGCTTAAAAACATGACACTGAGAAGGGGTTTGTCGAAAACCTGCCTTAGATAATGCTGGGGAAATGTGATGTCCGGAGCCCTGGTAGCCATTCTGTGACTCTGAGGGGCTCAACCTCAGGGTAAAGCTGACTCAGTTAGGATGGCAGTGTGAGGACTAGGGGAAGTTCCAGGGTCCTTTCCCAGCTATTATCAGAATTAAGCAACCCAGGAAACTCCCCTCTTCAGGGCTTCTTATTTCTTGCCATAACTACTGGCCTTGTTATTTAGCCAGTTGAGTCCTTTTTTTTTCTTTTTCTTTTTTGACTGGACCATGGTGGCTTGTGGGAGCTAAGTTCCCCAACCAGCAATTCAACCCGGGCCACAGCAGTGAAAGCCCGGAATCCTAACCACTCGACCACTGGGAAATTCCCAGTTTTCATTTCTTCTTCTTTTTTTTTTTGCCTTGATGATTTCATGACTGAAGAGGGGTGTGTCCTAAAGGGTCCTGGAAGGGCCTAGGGAAAACGGGGCCTGCATAGAGCCTTGTGTGAATTAGAAGGAGGTGCTCCTCTAGGGGCATAAAACATACCCTGACCAGGCACTATGAGCGTTGGCAAGGAGAAAGACCTCTTTTCCTTTTTTCCTGCAGTCTGGATGCAGGGCTTGTCTGGGGGGCTTGAGCTATCTTTCCCAGCACCTCAGCCTTTGTGCAGCTGTACACGGAGGCCCTGGGAGAAGACCCCAGTTGTGGAGAACTGCTGGGCTTCGTGGGGGGCAGCACTTGCAGAAGTCAGACAGCCAGGCACACCCTCAGGCCACATCCCTGCTGGCATCTCCCCGCCCCTGCCCTGCAGGTGTGCTCCTCGCTCAGGCCCCAAGGCTGCCCTTGTCCCCATCCGAGGACCCCCACCAATGCCCTGGACCCTTGTAAAGTGTCCTGAATAGGCACTGGGTAGGGCAGAGAGGGGCTGTTAGGACCCCTGAGCCGGGCAGGTAGTAGAAGATTCCCCCCTGCTCGTAGGAGGGTTCAGAATTCCCCAGGCATCCTGAAAGGCCATGTAGACCCCACTCGGGCTCTTTCTGGGAAGCAGTGGGAGGGCCAGGGGCCGGGTGCCCACTTGCGGAACCGTCAGGGTCTGGAGTCTGGGAGGGTCCGCGGGCCAGGGGTCACTGGGCCGAGAAAGGCCCGGGCCGCAGGGGGAGTGAGCGAGGGTGCAGTCTGAGGTCTAGGCCTCCAATCCCCTGCCTCTGTGTCCCTCCGTGTTGCCTGGGGTTGCCTGGAAGCTGGGCGGGCCTCAGGGGTGCATTTGTCAGGGGTGTGGGAAGGGCGCGGGGGGCAGATACGGCCCTGCCTGCCGACGGGGGACGAGGGCAGAAGAGCCAAGGCACCCCGACAGCTGGCTGAGGCGCTGGAGGCCGCTGCCTCTTCTGCTGACCCCCAGGACATCACTCCAAGCCCCAGACTCTGTTCTGGCCTCCCAGGAGGGCTGCCCCGGAAGTGCCCGGACCTGCCTTTTTGACATGTAGCCGAACGAAGCACAGTGAAGCAACATGCAAGATTCCTCGGTGACCGGAGCCTCAGGCTCCCTTATCAGGTGAGAGCAGATTCCAGAACACTTCCCTTGCTGCCAAAGATGCCTGCCCTGACCCCTGGGGTGCCTGGACCTGTGTGAACAGTGTCAGAGTTCCTCTCCACCCCTGGGCGCTCAGGGAAGGAGCCAGGAGCCTCCCCAGAGGAGGTGGGGGACGTTTGAGGTGGGTCTTCCGCATAAGCAGGGGGCTTGGCAGGGAAGCGGCCCTGCTCCTGGCAAGGATGTCTTGGCAGGAGACAGCTTCTGCCCAGGATGCTAATGTCCTCTTAATTAGCCGGGCCCTTGCCAAGCGCACTCCGCCGCAGCTTCACTTTGCAAAGCACACTCGGGCCTCAGAGCCAGTCCAGCACCTGCCCTTCTGCCGGATGGATTGGCCAGGTGCGGCCTCTGAGCTGCCCGCTGAGGCCAGTCCAGCCCTTCCCCTCGGGGCATCATCGTCCAGAAATAGAAATGCTTTGCAGGGACACGTGTTCAGAGAGACATGGGGAGGTCAGCCTGTGTACCTTTGCTCCAGCTGACCTGGCTCCACGCTGCTGAATTCCTATTCACCAGCCTGCCCACTGCTTCCTCCTGGGGGCCTCCTGGATTTCACGGTGAACTCTGAGATTCCCCTCTACCCAGGACAATGCACCGCCTGGGTCAGGCCCTCGGCACCCCACCCCGGGTATGGTTCCTGACTTACACGGGTTACAGTTTAGGACCAGGAAGCGGGTATTACAAACCTCTTGTCACATCTGACAAGATTATGATGTAGGGAAGAAACCAACACTCTATGGTAAAGCAAGTATCCTTCATTTAATAATAAATTAAAAAAAAAATCTGACAAGAGCCACTGCCTGGGCCCCTGAGAACTGCGTGTCCCTCCTAAAAGCTGACACCGAGCCTTTCTGTCCTCCCCAGGCCAGGCCTCTGTTTCCTGACTGGTAACGTGAAGGCCCTGAGCCCAGATCGGCAGAGTCATTCCTGCAGATGGGGTGATGGGGGGACACTCGGTCCTGCCCTCCTTGGCTCTGACCCGGCGGTGCTGGGGGTGTGGCCCGTGGCCCTGGAAGGCACAGCTGTCCGAGTCCTGCCCTGGAATTGCTTCCTCCCACTGAGGGCGCCCAAGAGGGAGGCAGGCTGTACCAGGCTGCCTCGAGGGGCCACAGGGGTGGAACAACAAAGACGCCATTCACGGGCTTGGGTCCCGAGGCCGGGTGTCTACGCGGGCTGGGCGGTGGACATCTGTGCATCTGCAACGTGGACAGCACTGCTGGGCCCTTCACATGCCTGGGGCCTGCACACTCACCTTGTTCAGAAAGAAGGGAGAGTGAGGCTCAGAGAGGATGGGGACCCCCCCCCCCCAATGATGCTGGCAGGAAACTCCCAGGACGTCACACCCTGGGCTTTTGCTGACAGGAACTGAAGCTCCAGGGGGCTGTGATCCGCCCAGGGCCGCCCCTGAGACCTCCATCCCTGGTCCCCGGACCACAGTCAGGACCTCGAGTATGGTCCAGGCCTCGAAAGCCAGCAACACCCTGGAGAGGTGTGACGGGAAGTTTCTAGCATCTCGTGGGGATCCCAGGGTGAAAAAGAGAGGGTGTGAGACTGCAGAGCTGGTGCGAAAGGGGGAGCCTCGGGAAGGAAGGAGGGGCAGGGCGGGAGACAGCCTGAGGCCTGATTTGACTCCTCCGAGCTTCACGATGCTCTTGTGTTCTTTCCTCCCCGGTAAGACTGACTGATTTTTTAAAATGGAGGTAAAGACCACATAACATAAAATTAACTGTTTTAAAGCACGTGATTCTGGGACTTCCCTGGTGCTCCAATGGCTAAGACTCAGTGCTTCTACTCCAGGGGCCACGGATTTGATCCCTGGTTGGGGAACTAAGATCCCACATGCTGTGAGGTGCAGCCAATAAATAAGTAAAAACTCAAAAATTATAATTTAAAAAAGCATACAGCCTCTGTGGCCTTTTGTTGTTGTTGTTGTTGAGCCATGTCTGACTCTTGCAAACCCTGTGGACTATAGCCCGCCAGGTTCCTCTGTCCATGGGATTCTCCAGGCAAGAATACTGGAGTGGGTTGCTGTTTCCTTCTCTAGGGGATCTTCACCACTCAGGGATCAAACCCACGTCTCCTGCATTGGCAGGTGGATTCTTTACCACTGAGCCACCAGGAAAGTCCCTCTGTGGCCTTTGGCACAAAATCAAAATCTCATGTACCCACCACCTTGACTTAGTTCCAGAACATGTGGTCCCCCTGAAAGGAACCCCGTCCCCATGAAACAGTCACTCCCCCTCCTACACTGGCAGAAGTGTAATGCCTGCCCCCTCACCAGATATCACACCTGATCTTAGCCAAAAGGCCGAGAAGCCAGTCAGTCTTAAAGGAAATCAGTCCTGAATATTCATTGGAAGGACTGATGCTGAAGCTGAAGCTCCAATACTTTGGCCACCTGATGCGAAGAGCCTACTCACTGGAAAAGACCCTGATGCTGGGAAAGATTGAGGACAGGAGAAGAAGAGGGTGACAGAGGATGAGATGGTTGGATGGCATCACCGACTCGATGGACATGAGTTTGAGCAAGCTCTGGGAGATGGTGATGGACAGGGGGCCTGGCGTGCTGCAGTCCATGGGGTCACACAGTGCTAGGGCCTGGGTCTCCGGCCGGGTATCGGGAGAAGTGGGACTTGGCAAGATTTTCTGGAGGAGAAGACATGAGGAGCCCAAGGTGCTGGAGGCCCCGGGCAGCATGGTGCAAACTTGGCCCAGGGGAGAGGGCCCAGATGGTCCAGGGAGGCATTCGCCCTGGGCATCAAGCCTGAAGACTCAGGCCTACAGAACAGCCTGGTAGGAATCTGAGGCCCTTCCACACACCAGAGAGGATGGGTGGAAAAAGCCCTGAGGCTGGATGGGGTGGTGTGCGGAGAGAAGAGACACCTCCTATCTAAGCATCTACCTGTTGGCTCTCCATCGCTGCCTACAGAGCACGTTTCTAAACAAACGTAGAGAGAGGGCCGGCAGCGTGAGTTTCAAACATGATGGAACAGCACATGCAGAACAAGGACTAAGGCAGAGGCGAAGATCCAGGATCAGAATGTCCGGGTCCAGTATTGCTGCGGAAATGGTCAGGCGGACGTAAGATTCGTGGTATGGCATCCTTTCTGCTGCCTCCCTGCCAGCACAATCAGTGTATCCTCTCTGTCTCCCGCACCACCACCACGATTTTTTGGGAGAGACGGGACAGAGAGAGGGGTATTTTATTTTTATTCTTAGTGTGCCTGTCTAAAACTTTAATTTTTCAGTTTCTTTGGCTGCATGGGGCTTTCATGGCCCTACGTGGGCTTTCTCTAGCTGGCGGCGAGTGGGGCCCACTGCTCGTTGTGGTGTGCGGGCTTCTCCTGGCGGTGGTTTCTCTTGTTGCTGAGCATGGGCTGTAGACGCGAGGACTTCAGTAGCTGCGGTTCCCGGGCTCTAGAGCACAGGCTCAGTAGCTGTGGGGCACGGGCTTATTTGCTTCATGGCATCCGGGATCCTCCCAGACCAGGGATCGAACCCACGTTGCCTACATCGGCAGGCGGATTCTTATCCACTGCACCACCAGGGAAGCCCTGTCTAAAACTTTTTATTATGGGTCCAAACATTTATTCAAGCAGAGACTCGGGAATTCCCTGAAAGTCCAACATTTGGAACTTTCCACTTGCCCTGCTGAGGACCTGGGTTTGATCCCCGGTCAGAGTCAGGCTGAGTGGGCCAAAAATAAAAAGAGAGAGACTCACATAGGTCATCTCCACATACCCACCACCCTGTCTGGAAGAGTTTAAGGCAAAACCCAGGCAGCGTGTCATTTCATAGGGAAGGTTTTGTCGCGGATTATGGGATCTTACTTCCCCGACCAGGGATCGAACCCGGGCCCTCGGCAGTGAAATCACTGAGTCCTGACCACTGGACCGTCAGGGAAGTCCCTCCTCCTGTGACTTCTGTGGGGGCATGCACCGGGGATGGGACTGCCTCTGCCCGTCCGTGGTGGGTTAGGACCAGAAATTCTCCGAGGCTGTCGGGTGGGGAGGAGTCCGAGTCTCTGTGACTGGGGACCTGGGCTCAGGCCGGGCCGAGCAGGCCCTCCTGGTGGCCTCGTTTCCCTCCCCAGACCAGGCAGCAGGGTTCCCGGTGGCCAGCCTGGGAGCAGCTCAGGCCCAGCCCCAGCCAAGCACGTCCGTTCTCCCCAGGCCATGCCCTCGTTCTGGGCAGCTCAGGTGGCACCTGGGTTCCCGGGGGGCCCCGGGACACAGCGTCCGTGTTCCTGTCCTTCCCCAGAGGGACCCGAGGTGGAGCCTGCGGACAGGACCATGTGGCCGCGCTGGACACAGAGGTTCCCATTGTAACCGACACGCGGGGAAGGCGAGAGGCGGAGACGTGGGTGCAGAGCAGGCAGGCAGTTTTGAAAATGCTCTTCGGCTCAACTGACCTAAGGTTTTGTTGCTACATTGACATTTCAGCAATAACTAATGAGAATAATTTTTTAAAAACCTGACTGATTCACGTTCTTGTACAGCAGAAATTATCACCTCATTGTAAGCAATTATCCTTCGATTTAAAAAAACCCTGTGATAAACCATAATGGAAAAGAATATTTGAAAAAAAGAACATATATATATGTATGGCCGAATCACTTTGCTGTACAATAGGAACTAACAACGTTGTAAATCAACTATACTTCAATTAAAAAAAGCAAAAACCCTGAGATGCTTTCCTTTCTCCTCATCTAAGGGGCTTCCCTGGCGGCTCAGTGGTAAAGAATCTGCCTGCAATGTAGGAGACACAGGTTCGATCCCTAGGTCAGGAAGATCCCCTGGAGGAGGCAATGGCAACCGGCTCCAGTATTCTTTTCTGGAGAATCCCATGGACAGAGGAGCCTGGCAGGCCACGGTCCATGGGGTCGCAAAGAGTCGGACACGACTAAGTGACTAAACAACAACAAATAGGCTTGAAACCCACTGGAGTGTGGGTTTACACAATTTTGTAAAGCTATTATCCTCCAATTAAAAAAAATTCTTTGTTTGCTTGTCTTTGAAGTTCAAGGAGAGGAAAACAGTCTAATAGCAGTTATGCAGGTAGTGGGGTGGGGGTGGAGGGAGGTGGAGGACAAAGGCCTTTTTAGGTTTTGGGATATTTGAACGATGTGAATGTATTGTCTACTCAGAAGAAATTAAATAATAATCACTTAGCTCCACACCTGTTGAAATTAACCTCAATTCCTCATATATTGACTCCTCCCCGGCCCTCCCACCCCCAGTCTCAGGACTAACCTGATTACCCAATGCCTCAGTCTCTATTCTGCTCACTTGACCTGCCTGCCCTTGTCCATGGGGAAATCCAAGGTCCCCTTTCTATGTCCCATCTTCCACATTGTTCTATCTGATGTTAATTTATTCAGCAAATTGGCACAAGGCTTACGCTCCTGGACAAATGATCCTAAAGCTGTGCTCCACCATTGCTCTGACTATACGACTAGGGTCCTGGGAATTCCTGGGGACCTTACGGGGCTGGAGGGAGTCTGGCCCATCTGTGTCCCCAGGACCAGCTGGTGTTTATGAGCACTGACCACGGGCCAGGCTCTGTCATCTAGGTGCCTGGTGTGTGGAGTCACCAACCTGTCCCCATCTGCCCAAGACTTTCCTGGTTCGAAAACCGAGTGCCACATCCCAGGAACCCCTTGGTCCCATTCATGTATGTGGGCTCCTGATCTCTCAGCTTCTCTCCCGGGACAGATGCTATCATGATGCCCGTTTTAGAGATGGAAAAACTGAGGACCATGGTGTGCATTCGACTGCAGGAAGCCCAGTGCAAGAAGCCAGGGCTACCACCCAGCCAGGCTCTCCAGTCTTTGCACCCATCAAAAGCATAACCTGGGAAGGCCTGGACCAGCTCCCACCCCTGGCCTGACTGAGAGGCAGGAGCCCCCAACTCCAGCTCCACAGCAGGCGTGTCTCAGCAGATCCCCGTCCTTGCTGTCAGCACAGGACTGCTGCCCCCAGACTTCAGTTATTCAGCATCCTCTCTTAAGAGCCATGGTAGCTGGCCAGAGAGTTGGTCCTAACTAGAGATTCTTGGGGATAGCAATGGGTTCTGAGGGTGGCCAGGGACAGGGTCTGAGCTCCAAGTCCTCAGGGACCTTTCCACCACCCTGAGATGAAGGATTTGCATCTCTTTTACAAAAGGTGAAACAGGCTCAGAGAGGTTAAGTAACTTGCCTACAGTCACACAGCCAGGGAGACCCTGGGTCTCAAGCCTATATGTTGTTGTTTAGTCACTAAAAGTCATATCCGACTCTCTGCGACCTCATGGACTGTAGCCTGCCAGGATCCCCTGTCCATGGGATTTTCCAGGCAAGAATACTGGAGTGGGTCGCCATTTCCTCCTCCAGGGGACCTTCCCGACCCAGGGATCGTACCCACAGACTCGGGTTCGCCGGCATTGGCAGGTGGATCCTTTATCACAGAACCACCAGGGAAACACCTATCAGATGACCTCAAAATGAGAAACTTGGTTTCTCAGCTTTCCAGAACTTTGTGGGAGGGTGTGCTATGGGCAGTGGCTGTCTGGGGCTCAAGGCCCTGCCAGTTAACCTACCTGACCTACAATAACGGGAAGGTAAAACAGAATTACCCTGGAAGATAAAAGCCCCTGGAGGGGGCTGCCTGGTGCGGGGGGGCGGGGGGCAGCGGCGCAGACCAACCAGCCCGGGAGCTAGTTCAGTGCCCTCTGCCTTTAGCCTCAAGACCTTGTGGGCAGCCTGTGGTCACGCTGGCATTCCAGGGGCTTGCCTGGCATGTGGGGAATGTCCCAGCAAAAGTCTTGGCCTTTGGAGATGCTCAGAAAAGGGAAGTGCTCCTCTCCAGGGTGGTGGTGGGGATGGGCATCTGTAGAAAATATCCCCTCCTGGGTACCAGGCTCAGAGTCCAGTGCAGTGGGACCTGGGGGGAGGTACAGAGTGGGAGGTGTGCTGGCCCCTGGGGCTGGAGACCCGGGTTGTTCCCCCTCAGGGCTGTGCTTCCTGAGTCCTAGCACATCTCTTACCTGCTTCATACAAGGGCTCACTACTCTATAGCAAAGAACAGGGATGTCTGGCATGCTGCAGCCTATGGGGTCGCAGAGTTGGACACGACCCAGTGATGGAACAGCAACGCGCTCTATGCCTGTGACCCTCTGCAGCCTCGGGATGGGAACGCCGTCACTACCCAGAGACCGATTTGGGCCAGGGGGGCTGGGTGCCTGGATCCCCGGGAGGGAGGGTGCGTTTCCGGGCAGCGTTCTGGGAGGGACACTTCGGGGAACCACAGACCCTGCTTTGGAGGCTGCAGAGCCTGGGTTGGGTGAGTTGGGGTCGGCAGACCCCTTCCCAGCTCCTGGCCTGAGCCCACCCTTCCGCCCACAGGCACTTGGAGGGTCCCCTCTCTGCTCCTTCAAAGCTCTGAACTAAGTCCACCTCCTCCAGGAGCCTCCGGAGCGTTCCGCTAGTACTGATGAGCTCCGTGGTTTCCGAGGTCTCTAATCCACAACCTCTAATCTGACTCAGGCCTTCCTCCCGACTGGGCTTGGGGTTGGGGGGGCCTCTGAGGGGTCCCCTGCTCCGGGCGAGCCCTCAGGCTGCGGCGCCGCGAGGGTGGGGCTTTGGTATTGGGGGGAAGGGAGCGGTGGCCCCAAGTTGGGGGGACTGCAGAGGCCGGCAGTGCAGAAGGAGGGGCCGCTGAAAGCGCAGCCGCCGCCCGCGCCCCTCCGGGCCCCCAGCGCCACTCGGCTCGCTGGCTCAGCCCGCGCGCCCCCCGCTCGGCGAGCCCCGGGGCGGGGCGGGGCGGGGGCGGGGCCTGGCAGCGCTGACGTCACCCCGCCTATAAAGGGGCTCGGGAGCCGCGAGCCGGCTTTGTAAAGCCGCTGCTGAGGGTGCGCGCACGGCCGCCGCAGCCGCCGAACAAAGGAGCAGGGCACAGCCGCCGGGACCCGCTACCGACCGCCCGGGCCGCGCCGGCCCGCCGCCAGCCGCCGCCATGACCGCCAACGGCACGGCCGAGGCCCTGCAGATCCAGTTCGGGCTCATCAATTGCAACAACAAGTACCTGACGGCCGAGACGTTCGGGTTCAAGGTGAACGCCTCGGCCAGCAGCCTGAAGAAGAAGCAGATCTGGACGCTGGAGCAGCCGCCCGATGAGGCGGGCAGCGCCGCCGTGTGCCTCCGCAGCCACCTGGGTCGCTACCTGGCGGCCGACAAGGACGGCAACGTGACCTGCGAGCACGAGGCGCCCGGCGCCGACTGCCGCTTTCTCATCGTGGCGCACGACGACGGTCGCTGGTCGCTGCAGTCCGAGGCGCACCGGCGCTACTTCGGCGGCACCGAGGACCGCCTGTCGTGCTTCGCTCAGACCGTGTCGCCGGCCGAGAAGTGGAGCGTGCACATCGCTATGCACCCGCAGGTCAACATCTACAGCCTGGCCCGCAAGCGCTACGCACACCTGGGCGCGCGGCCGGCCGACGAGATCTCGGTGGACCGCGACGTGCCCTGGGGCGTCGACTCGCTCATCACGCTGGCCTTCCAAGACCAGCGCTACAGCTTGCAGACGGCCGACCACCGCTTCCTGCGCCACGACGGGCGCCTGGTAGCGCACCCTGAGCCCGCCACCGGCTACACGCTGGAGTTCCGCTCCGGCAAGGTGGCCTTCCGCGACTGCGAGGGCCGCTATCTGGCGCCGTCGGGGCCCAGCGGCACGCTCAAGGCGGGCAAGGCCACCAAGGTGGGCAAGGACGAGCTCTTCGCCCTGGAGCAGAGCTGCGCCCAGGTCGTGCTGCAGGCGGCCAACGAGAGGAATGTGTCCACGCGCCAGGGTGAGTGGGGACGCCGTCCCTCGCCTCTTTCCGGCCTTGCACAAAGCGCACCCCACCCCACCCCCGTCCCCACGCCTCCCGCCTTTCCTCGCCCGCGGCAATCCCGAGCGACGCCCGGTGCGCCCCCGCTGGGCGCTCAGACCACCCCCACCCGGCCGCGGAGCGTGCGCTCCGACCTCGAGGAAGGGGCGAGGGGTGGGGCTTTTCCCATCCTTGGGGGCCGTGGCGCGGCCCCCACTCCGCCTTGGGCTTGGGGCTCCCTAGGCCGCGCTTAGGCCCCGCCCCGGGTGCCACCCTCGCACCCCCTGCCCAATCTGGGTCTTCCCGACTCTTGCGGATCCCTGGGCTCCGTGGGCCCAGCCCTGGGGAAGGGACGCCCCTCGCCCGGTGCCTCGTGCCCTTCCCCCCGTTAGTGGGTCTTCAGTTCCAGGGCGGAGCGAGGGGTCGCCCCCGGCGCAGGGCGCGTTCGCGCTCCCTAAGGGCCGCCTTTCGCGGGCGGGATGGGAGTCCTTTGGTCTCCGCGGGGTGCGCGTCCACGTCCCCCGGGTCTGGGCCTCTCTGCACCCCCTCTGGCTGCTGGGAGGGGTTGGCCTCTGCTGGAGGGGGGCGCCCGGAGTGTCTGCCCTTCCCCCCCCCCGCCCCAGCCCCTCCTCCGCGTCCGCCCCGCGCTCGAGGCCGCGGCCTTTGTGAGCAGGGGGCGGGCTCCTCGACAGGGCCCTCCCTCGCCCCCTTTGTCCTGCTCGGTCTCTGCGGATGGGAAAACCAGATGAGGCTGGGCGGGGAGGGAGTCGGCTTTCTGCGGGTCCCCCCTGCTGGGAGCCCCCCCGCGCCGCACCCCAACCCCGGGCCGGGTGTTCCGTCCGAAGCCGCCCCACGGCCTCCCTGCTCGCGCCCAGGTCCAGGGCGGCGTGGCGGGGATGGCGGCCCTCCAGGCCCCCCGCCCTGCGGCTCGCGGCCGGTGCGCTCTGCTCCGTGGGTGCCCGAGAGCGCTCCCAGCGTGAGCCGGGAGACTCCAGCCAGGCACCCTCGGAAAGTGCTCCGCACCCCCACCCCCCACCCCCGCTCCGCCCCGCCTCGAGTAAACCCACCCCCTAAGACTCCCTCCTGGAACAGCTGGCTGCAACTCGACGCGTCCTTTCCCGGGGCCTCCCGCCGGCCTGGCCATTTCCTACCGGCCTGCCCGCCAGAATGAGCCCCCACTTTCCGGGCTCAGATTCCCCCCCAGGCGGCTTCTCTTCATTCTGGCGCCCTGGCCCCTCCTTTGACCCAGAAGTCAGTCTGTTCCTTCTCCCCGGGGGAAACCTCTGGGTGTCTTGCTCCCCCCAGACAGGAAGGTGGATCCCGGCCTCTGGAGATAGATAGCTGAGTGGGAACCCCAGGCAATGGCCCCTCTTCCTCCTGATGACCACCCTCCAGACTGTACTCTGCCCAGAAGGTTGCAGCCCGGTGGCTGCTCATGCCCGAGGTTGCAGGCTGAGGACTCACGAAGTGGGCCAAGCTTCTTCCATCTTGCAGATGAGTGGGTTTAGGCCCAGAGAGGAGAAGCCCTCTGCCCAAGGTCACACAGCAAGCATGCAGCAGGCAGAACTGGGTTTGAGTCCAGAAAGGGTCCTCATCTGGACCCCCTGACACCTCCCAACCTCTGGGGACCATAGGACCTCCCCTCTCCAGTCTCACACAGCACTAGGTGGGGCAGGACTCCTCACCTACTCTGCAAACACTGAACCCCTAGTGAGTGAGGCATGCTGAGGCCTGAGTGGTGAGCAAGTGGGCACGTCCCGGAGCCTTCCCTGCTGGGCGCTGTGTCCTCATTGGGACGTGAGCCACATCTTGGGCAATAGAGGTGTCTGGGACTCCAGGAGGTCCATGAGGGCCCCAGGTTAGATGGGAGAGGTCCCTTTCTAGGGAGGACATTTGACCTGACCTGAGGATGAACAGAAGGTGGGATGTATCATGTGTGTGGGACAGTGTTGCGGACACAGAGCACAGCTTGTGCAAAGGCCCTGAGGCAGAGAGGAGCAGAAAGCCCAGTGCTGGCCGAGAAGCAGTTTGTGAGGTTGGTCCACGGGACTGGATCAGCCAGCAGGGCTGCAGGACCCGGAGTGGGTGCTCATCAATGAAGGATGCTCCGTGCTTGCCGGCTGTGTCCCACCCCTTCCCTGTGAAAGATGTGACAGGAGCCCCCTGGGGCCAGGAAGGGGCAGAGAGAGCGTGGGGTATTTTCGGCAGGTTCCAGGCGGCGAGCCTGGACAGACACCCTCTCCTTTGAGTAAGGCTCGCTGGGGGTGTCATGGTGTGATTCAGTCTGATGGGGCAGGAGGAGCCGCCGGAAATTGCAACAGGAGAGCTGCCGGCTCATCTGTGTGTTTAAAGGGGAGGGAGCTTTGGGGGCCAAGACTGGGGCTCCCTTGGCCTCAGGTTTTGGGGTCCATTCTGACGTCGGGTGTCCCTGGCGGGATGGAGGGTGACGGGGCCGGGCCGCGCGGGGCTGGGGGGCGTGCCTACAGAAGCCATTTTGGACAGGCCTGCGTGGCAGGGAGGCGGGGGCGGCTCCTCCAGACACACGTTGGGAAGGAGGCGCCTCCTGGGTTTTGCCGGCGGGGGACGTGAGTCATCCCAGCAGCCGGGCCCGTGCGGTGCGGTGCTTCCTGCTGAAGCTGCAGGCTGCTCTCTGGCCTCAGTACCCCCATCTGTAAAGGGCTCCACCTGGGTACGTTCTTTGTGGCCAGACCGTATTTCTGGGAGGAGGTCATTGCAGCCACCGTTAGAGGCAGTGTTGGCCATCAGGGCGTAGGGTCCCGAGAGCTGCTGTGACAAGGCAGATGGCCCACGTCCACTCCAGGTCCTGGGAAGGGGGTCACCATGACCACATAGGCGGGGCTGCTGAGTGAGCTGTATTCAAGCTCCTTTGGCCCCTGCCTGTCCTGGGCTCCGCTTCCCTGGTGGTTCAGATGGTAAGATATCTGCCTGCAGTGTGGGAGACCCGGGTTTGATCCCTGGGTCAGGAAGATCCCCTGGAGGAGGGCATGGCAACCCACTCCAGTGTTCTTGCCTGGAGAATCCCATGGACAGAGGAGCCTGGCGGGCTTCAGTCCATGGGGGGTTGCAAAGAGTTGGATATGACTCAGCGACTAACACCTACACACACTGCCCTGGGCTCCGGCAGGACCCTGGGCGGAGCCTCAGCACAGTTCCCACCTGACCTCACAGCCCCTTTGCCTCGGGCCAGCTGTGGCCCGGGGTCTCTGTGCTCAGGAAGTGCCCAGCCCCAGCGGCTGGAAGGTGAGGCTGGCTAAGGAAGGGCCGGACGGGCCGGGCTTTGTAGGATGTGTAAGAGTTCTCTTGATGAGGCAGGTCATGTTGGCCTCAGGGAAGGATGAGGCCACTCCTCAAGAATGAGGAAGCTCGTGTAAAGATGGAGTAGGAATTTAAGGTGGTCAGGTAGTGGCAAGAGTTGACAGCAAGAAGTGAGGTGAGGCCACAGAAGTTTCTGGACTCCCTCCCTTAAACTGAATGGGTGGTGGAGAGCGCCCGATTTTTGACCAGCCAGGGGATTTGGGGACTCCTAAGGCTGGGGGTCTCATCAGACCATGGGGTGTGCTGCAGGCAGGGCTGTGCTGGACGGCCCTGGGGCTGGAGACAGGGAAAGCCGTGATGGACGGGGGCGGGGCCCGGCGTCTCCGGGGGGACATGCCCGTGGGCTCTGCTGAGCCCCCGCACCTCTCTCCTTACTTCCCGGGGCTCCAGTGGGCCTGTGACTCACGCTTTCTGTGCTGCTGTTGATGAAAAGAAAAATCCCAAAGAAAACCCTGTTCCCATAGTAACCCAGCTCTAATTAGAGACTCCCAAGGCCGAATGGGGCCTTTCCCGTTGGGGCAGGGCCTTGGAGCCAGGAGGGGCCCCCCTGGATGGAGTGGACACTCCCCCCAGCTCCTCCTGTGGGGGGCAGAAGACCCGGTGTCTACTTGGCGTCGGGCTCCTCCATGCTTTCGATCTCCTGGCAGAACCGAGAGACACCGAGCCTGGCTGACAGAGAGGGAAACTGAGGCTGGGGGGTGCGGTGAAGGCGCCTGGCCCCCAGTTTGAGTACCTTGCTCACTGGCCTAGGCCTGTTGATGCAGCCAGGCTGGATGGGGTCTGAGTGGCTGAGCAGACGGCGGTGGTCATCGTGTGGCCCGGGGCAGGGACCCACCGCTGCAGAGTCCTGCTTTGTCCCCCTGGTGGGAGGGGAGTTGCTGGGAGGAGCAGGGGCGCAGGGCTGGCTGAGCGCCCGGGACCCGAAGTCTCCTGGAGAAGGGCCCCCGGGCGTGTCTGGCCTGAGCCTGGTGTGCGCCTTGTGAATCTGCAGGGCTGCGTACCAGCGGGTAGGCTGGCAAGCGCGGGGTGCTGACCGCCGTTCACAGCCCTCCCTGCCCCCCTGTCCTTCCCTTGCCATCAGCCGGCCTCCCATGGCCCGGCAGGCGGGGCGGGGCAGGCTGGCGGGATGGGTCTGAGCCAGGAGGGCCCCCGCCCCGCTTGCTGGGCGTGGCCCCAGGACAGCCCGGCTCTTGCGGACTGGGCGCCCCAGCAGGCCCAGCCCTTGCTGCTCCTCACCTGGTGCTCTGCGGGGGGTGTCGTGGTGGATGGCACTCACCTCCACCCCGGGGCCTGAGTAGACAGCTGATCCCTGGCACTGGGACTCAGGGGACCCCGGGGGGCTGGGGGTCGAGCCCAGCGGTGGTGAGGGTTCAGGGTGACCTGAGGAGGCCGCGGCCACCAGTCCAGAGAGGGGAGGGAGGGTTGGGGGACAGGGCTTGGCACGAGGCCTGCGTTTGTCCCCTTCTCCCCCCGAGAGCCCGGGGACCCCTAGCTTTCTCCCTGGGTGACCTTGGGCGTGGGCCCTATTTCTCTGTCTCCCTCTCTCTTGTGAGGCAGGGTGGGTGCCGCTGACATGGGACACAAGCCCTGGTTGGTGTGGGGCTGACACCTGTCAGGCCATGGGGGTGGGGCACTCAGCCCCCAGGCCTTGCCACCCGCCAGCCTCATCTCATCTGAAGGGGCGCCTGCCACCGGCCCCGGCTTCTTAAAGGCCTGGAGGCCCACCTCACCCAACACTGAGGCTCTTAGACCCACGGTGCTTGGGGGCGTGAACTTGTGGTTGTGACCAAAAGTTGCATTTCAGGTTTTAGCTGGAGTCCACACGGGTGTGCAAAAGTGATGGGGCTGCAGCTTGTGGGAACAAAACCCCGGAAGCCACCGCTTTTGCAGACGATTTCAGGATGTGGACACGTGTGGAGGTGTTAGGCAGGTCATGTGCAAATCGCGATCTGCCGCCCGCATGCACTTTAAGGTCAAGAAAACGCGTGTGTGAACGCAGGGGAAGTGGTTAGGAGGCTGTGGTCGCCCAGCGTTCACAGAGGCTCTCCGGGGGTGCGGTGGGCATGGGGGGTGGTGTGTGACTTTGCTTTTAGGAGTTTTCTAGATTTCCTGAAAGGAACATGTGCAGTTGCTCTTTGAACTTTTACACATACACAGAAGCAGGAGGGAACAATGAACCACCGCATAGCAATCCAGTGGCTGCCATACCAGCTCCCTGGGCCTCCATTCATTGTTTTTGGTTGTACTTCCTGCAGAACCCAGACATCGGGCATTTCATCTCGAAATCTTTGCCTGTGTCTCTATGAACAGCAAGGCAACCTCTCACATACTGACAGCATGATTAGCAGTAACTAACCCTTCCCCTCTAACCCGGGCCACGTTCAGATTCTCCCCGTTGGCTCCACAGTATCTTCTTGCATCTGGTTTGCTGCAGAGTTTGACGTCTGTAAAATCAGAGAGAGTGACGTGTAAGTGGACCTGGCAGGCTTTGGTCCTTGACTGGTCCTGCCCGGGACCCTGGGTTCTCCCTCTGATGTGGAGGCTGAGGGGTCTGAGCCGTGTGGTGGGTTCTCAGTAGCCCCCCCGCCCCCTGCTGTACTGGTGTGAGGGCAGGGCTGAGGGTTAGCCAGAACTGGGGGTTGCAGGGGTCCCTGGTCCTAGCTGGAGGCTCTCCCCGCAGGTATGGACCTGTCGGCCAATCAGGACGAAGAGACCGACCAAGAGACCTTCCAACTGGAGATCGACCGCGACACCAAAAAATGCGCTTTCCGCACCCACTCGGGCAAGTACTGGACGCTGACAACCACCGGGGGTGTGCAGTCCACCGCCTCCACCAAGTGAGTGCCCGCTGCCCGCGCTCGCCCAGGCCGGCCCTTCCTGGGGGGATGACCTCTCCTGACCCTGTCCCCCCGCCCCTTGCCCCAGGGATGCCAGATGCTACTTTGACATTGAGTGGCGTGATCGGAGGATTATTCTGCGTGCGTCCAATGGCAAGTTCGTGACGGCCAAGAAGAATGGCCAGCTGGCGGCCTCCGTGGAGACGGCAGGTAGCCGCCTTGGGCACACCTCAAGCCCCAGTTCCCTGGGGGGGTGGTCCTCACTATGCCATGGTCACTTACGAAGCCCGCCCTGTACCGGGCATCCTCCCAAACTGCCCCCACCTCGCCTCCCCCAGGGCTGGCGTGCTGTGTGACCCCAGGCTCCTGCTGTCCCTCTCTAAGCCACACCCTGGGCATTGCACTCCCCCACCCTTGCCCCAGTCCCCCTGAGGGTCACTGCTTTTCCCACTTCCTGGGACAGGGGACTCGGAGCTCTTCCTCATGAAGCTGATCAACCGGCCCATCATTGTGTTCCGCGGGGAGCACGGCTTCATCGGCTGCCGCAAGGTCACGGGCACCCTGGATGCCAACCGCTCCAACTATGACGTCTTCCAGCTGGAGTTCCGAGACGGCGCCTACAACATCAAAGGCAGGTTCCCCTGTGGGCAGGGCTGAGCGGGGTCCCCGGGGGCAGGGAGGGCCAGTGTTGGGCACAGAGGGTACCCTCCGCCCCTCTGTGCCCCACTTGACGCTCTGACATGGCTTGGGCCATTCCAGGCCCCACGTGGCCGGCAGGGGCTCAAGCTGGGGGGAGCCCCTTCTGCTCTAGTGGGTACAGGAGGGAGACCGCGGCAGACAGAGCTCGGGAGGGAGACGGGGTCCTCGGAAGGGTCGGCAGGGGCGCCGGCACACACTCGAGCTGTGGGTGGGAGGCGGCCGGGAGGGGCTCCATCCATCCACATGGGTGGACAGCAGACCCCAGCTCCGCTCTGGGAGCCGTGATTGCAGGGTGGAGGGCAGAGCCCGAGGCAGGGCCTGACGGGGTCCCCCCTGCGCCCCTGCAGATTCCACGGGCAAGTACTGGACGGTGGGCAGTGACGCGTCCGTGACCAGCAGCAGCGACACCCCGGTGGACTTCTTCCTGGAGTTCTGTGACTACAACAAGGTGGCCATCAAGGTGGGCGGGCAGTACCTGAAGGGGGACCACGCCGGGGTCCTGAAGGCCTGCGCCGACACCATCGACCCCGCCACGCTGTGGGAGTACTAGACCCCCGCCCCGCCGCCCCTCCCTGCCCTGCCCCCGCCCCCGGCTAACGCTCTTCTCCTGGGGGGCTCCGCTGCGGGTGGCGAGCCCCTAGCCTTTCAAACTGGAAACCCAGAGCAAACGGTGCCCTCACCGGTCGTCCCCCGGGCAGGTCGGCGCTCCAACCTGGCCCTCGGTGGGCTGTCCCAGCTCTCTGCCCTCTCTTCTGCACCCTGGGCGAGGCTGGAACTTCTCTCTCCTGACCTCAGACGACTCTGAGCCTTATTTCCCCCAAAGAGGCCGAGGAGGAGTGGGGGAGCTGGGAGGCCTTCCCGAGCCCCCGCCGCCCCAGAATGGCGGGGTGCGTAACTGGAATCTCCTGTCCCTCCTGAGCCTCCCCCCACCCCGCCCCCGCGAGCCACGCTCCCGCCCCAGGCCTGTCGGTGGCCCCCTCGTGTCTGGACAGGTCAGGGCTGGCTCCTGTCCCTGCACACCCTGCTGGGATCTGGGGACCCTGCCCCTGTCTCTCTTGGCTTTCCCTCTGGCCTGACTGGAAGCAGAAAATGACCAAATCAGTATTTTTTTTTTTTAATGAAATGTTATTGCTAGAGGAGCCCCAGGCAAGCCTGGTTGTAGCCGTGAGTGGGCTTGAGGGGATCTTGAGACAGAGGCCTCTGCGCCTTCTCCTCCCACTAGTGGTGGGGCAGGCGGGGTGCCTCCCCGAATCCAAACTCCCCACCTTCCCAGGGGCTTTCTCTGCCCTGCCCTCCCCAGTGCCCACCCCAGGCCCGGGTCTCACCTGGTGGTGCTGGGCCCCTCACCGCCTCAGCCAGGGCCCCGTGTGGTTGGTGCTCCTCATCTGACCAGACTCCCGGTCTCGGCGCGGGATGAAGCTGGGCGTGGCCCTCAACCCCTCAGCCGGGAGCCCCCTGGAAGCCCTGCCCCTGCCGGCTCCCCTCCTTTCTGGTTAGTGTCCACCATGCATCTCACTCTGGGTGTCTTGGTCTTTTATTTTTTGTAAGTGTCATTTGTATAACTCTAAACGCCCATGATAGTAGCTTCAGACTGGAAAGAGCAAAATAAAATAATGCAAGTCTGCAGCCTTGAGACTGTGTGTGTGTGTGTGTGTGCCCTGCGCTGGGACGAAGGCAGACGGGAGGGGTGGGGCTGGGAACCGACTCCTGCACTTTAGAGGTTAGAGGTCAAGCCCACACAAACCAGCACACCTGGGCAGGTGTGCGTTGATTAGAGTGTGGAGGCCTGGGCTGCCCCCTTTCCATCCTGAAGAGGCCTCCTGTGCGTCCATCCCCACCCCCAGACCGCAGGCTCCCACCGAGGTGGGGATCTGCCCTGAGAGGAGTCCGCCCGGTGGACTAGGCTTGCGGTCCAGGGTGGGTGCCTGGATCCGGCGCCCAGCTTGCAGAGGGACAGAGCGACTTCTCTGTCTGGCAGATAAGGCTAGGAAGTTTCCGGTTTTGAGGGGTCACCTGGGTCCCGAGTCCACCCTGCCCTTCTTGGTCGCTGGCAGACCTCCACGTGGCCAGCCCTGCAGGGACCTCCAGAGAGACAGGCGCTGGGCGGGCTCTCTTGTGCAGTCCTTCGTGTTACTCAGAGATTGCCTGTCCCCATCTTACAGAGGGGCAGACTGAGGCTGAGAGCAGCAAGGCGCAGCCCTGGGGGTGGAATGGGGCGCCCCACGGGTTCCAACAGACAGGCGGCGACTGAAGACGGACTTGGGCCTGCGGCCGTCTCGCGGGGGCAGAGGGGGCCTGAGCGGTCAGTGGAAGCGCTGATTGGCTGCTGATGACGAAACTGGGATGCCTGCGCTGTGATTGGTGGTCCCTGGGGGCGGGAGTCTCGAGATTGACAAGGACAGATGGCCACAAAGGGATGGCCAGCTCCCAGCGGGGTCCTGGCGACCAACCCCCACCACTGTTCAAGCCAGGCTGGAAGCCAGAGAAGGCTCAGTGACGTGGAAGGAGCAGATGAGGATTCCAGAGCCAAGCTCTTACAGACCGTTGGGAGCGGGGGTCCCCATTTGGGCAGTGGAGCGAGGTGGAGGTGTTCCCCGCGGTGCCTGGGGAGGGGGCTGCCCAGGAGCGGAATGACCTGTCCTGGAGAGATTCCAGGGACCTCTGCCCGCATCCTCTGAGCCAGGCCTAGGGGCCGATTCTAAATTCCACGCATTCTGCAAAAACACCGGCTGCGCGTGTTCCAGGGGCTGTTCCCCTCCCCACCCCCCCATCTTCTCTGCAAACGAGGTGGCCGAGGCAATCACACCTAGGGAGGAAGGGGACCTAACCCAGTACCTGGGAAGGGGAGAGCGGCCAGGCCAGGGAACCACCGCGCATGCAAAGGTCAGGAGTTGTGGCTGGGCCCTGGCTGGGTCCTGAGGAGGAGTGGATCTGCCCGAGTGAGGCCGTTGTCTCTAGGCCCCGTGGAGGCAATAGGATGCTATGGGAAGGAGGCAGACACTAGGGTGGCACGCAGGAGCACTGTGGGGACCTCCAGATTCACTCCTGCGTGCCGGGGCTCCCCATGTGCTGACCGCAAAGTGTACCCACCCCCCCTCCACCCCCCTGCCCCGCCTCCGCACCCCCATCAGAACTGGCTCTGGGGCTCCACGTCAGATTCCTGGGCAAAGGATTCAGTTCTTCCTCCACCCAGAAGCATGTTTGCCTCAGCGATTTCCAGTTCACAGGCCCCGGACTGCAGGACCCTGCACACACAGGCACACAGGCCTGAGCACACGAGTGGGTGTGTGCACCCAGGAACACGTGCAGGCACGCACAAGAGCCCAGTGCACACAACACAGGTGCACGTGGACACGACATGCACACACGGGCACACAGGCCAGCCCCCAGGGACAAGGAGCCGGCGGCTTGCCCAGCAGCCCGCCCTGACTCACAGGCTGCCGCCCTCTGTCCTTGGGGACTCCTTGCCCCGGCTTCTCCTAGGCCCTGACTGGCAGCTCCTCCCACCTCCAGCTGGATCGGGGGCCAGCAGGGCCCCACAGTTCTGAGGGTGGGTCCCCCCAAGCCTGCCGCGGAGAACGAGCAGGAGTCCAGCCTCCCATTGCTCAGATGGGGAAATGGAGGCCTAGAGGGTGCCCAGCGAGTCTGGGCAGGTGCAGCCCAGGCTCCCAGCTACTCCACTGGGGTTGGTTGTGAGCCCAAATGAAGAACACGCAGTTGAACTTGTAAGGAAGGAAGAAGCAAGGACAGGCAAGCTTTCTTCCCTTTCCTGAGTCCTCCCCCGGCAGGGGCAGGACTGCCCAAGGCCGGGCAGGGCAGCTGGGGGCAGCTGTGGTTCCCAAGATGCAGCCCGGCCAGAAAAAAAAGCAGGACTTTTTTTCACAGACGGCCATTCACATCCTTTTGAGGTGGGACTTCCAGCCCTGCTGGGGGCTCCAGCCCTGGGAGGACCCAGGTGGGTCCCTCAGAGCTTCCCAGGGGCATCTCCACAGGACACTTCAAACCCAGCCCCGCTGCACTCCCAAGCTCAGGCTCTTCCCCTGTTCATCTCCGGGGAGACCTCGTTGGAGGACACCCCAGACCTAACTGGGTCCCTCTTCCTCCAGGGACACAGCGGCCTCTGCCAGAATTGGGGAGGGGGCCAAAACACACTGAAGTGTAAGGTGGGTGATGCTACAAAGAGACCCCCACCCCTCGGACTCCCTGGGGACCCTCTGGCCTCAGTTTCCCTCCTTCCAGGGACAGCAAGACTGATGGGGGAGGGGCTCTGAGACCCCTGGGGCAGCAAGAGGAGAAGGGGACAGATGGGGGCTCCCGGCAGGAGGCCCGGAGAAGGGGCCCCAAGCCGCCCGGCAGGGGTGGGGCGGGGCTGAGCAATTGGCCTGAAGCCCCAGTCGGTTCGTGTGGGCCCCTGAGCCTAGCCAAGAGGAGGCCCATCCTCCCTGAGGTGTGAATAATTAAGACCGACCGAAGCTTGGGGGAGGGGACCCTGCACTCCTCTCCCTGCCCCCACCCCCACCGAACAGGGACAACCCCCAGAAGGGGTGGGAGACACACCTCCAGGAACCTGGGACTGGGCAGGCTGCTCTGAAAGAGCTCCGATGCCTATCACAATTGTCGCTTTAAGAAATAAGAGGAGCCAGCAAGCACGGGTATCTGGTTTGTTGTTCTCACTTCCCCTCGCCACAGCAGTGGCCTCAGTCAAGAAAGTCTCGCCTGAAAAAAAAGAATTAAGACAATAGGGGGCTTCCCTGGTGGTCCAGTGGCCAAGAGTCTGCACTTCCAATACAGGGGGCCGGGTTTCAATCCTTGGTCAGAGAACTAGATTCCGCATGCCTCAAGTTAAGAGTTTGCGTGCTGCGCTAATAGATCCTGAAGGCCGAAATGAAGATCGAAGTTCCCACACGCTGAACTAAGACCCCGTGCAGCCAAAGAAATAAACAATAAAAAAAACCCAAAACTTTTAAAAAGGTGTGGTATCTATGTATATATACACACATACATGCAATGGAATACTGCTCAGTCATAACAAGGAATGAAATCTTGCTTTTTGTACAACACGCCTGGATCTGGAGGGTATGTTGCGAAGTGAAATAAGTCAAACGAAGACAGATATTGTCATAACAAGACGAAAACAGGCTCACAGACACAGGAACAAAGAGGTGGTTGCCAGGATGGAGGGCTTGGTGGGGGGGAATGAGTGAGTGCAGTCGGTGAAGGGGCTTAGAGGTGCAGACATTCAGTTACAAAATGAACAGCTCCCCAGGATGCAATGCAGACATAGGGGAACTAGTTAAAACTAACAGCTCTGTGTGGTGGGTGACAGCGGTAACCAGATTTATCCTGGTAGTAATTGTAGCATACAGGACATCTCTGTGTAACACACACTATGTATGTCTGTAGCTTACACTGTCGTGCACCTGAAACCAACACAACAGTGTAAGTCAGTGATGCTTCAGTAAAGAACCAACAAACCTAACAGGTATGTCCAGGTACTGACAGTCATGTGATTGGGTCTCCCAGAAACAAATGGATACGAGCGTCCAGGCCAAAGCGGTTTCTCTGGGAGGTGACCGCAGGACGGCGAGAGGAGGGGACGAGAAGGAAGACAATGCAGCGCCGTGGGCGCCAGGCTCCGAGCCCCGCTGGACGGTTCAGGAGACCAGGGCAGCGCACTGCAGACAGAGCCGTCCCTGACGAGCAGGGGCGCGGGCCTGTCACCCCGCTCCTCCCCATCATGGTGGGCTGCTTTCCAGAGCTGAGGTTCACCATGTGATGGGGGAGCCGAGGGGATATGTTATGCCCTGATTATCATGACCCCCACTGTATTTATTTTATTACAATTAATTATATAACTTTTAATTGTGGTAAAATACAGTAGCATAAAGCAGGCTTTGCTGGTGGCTCAGGGGTAAAGAATCTGCATGACAGTGCAGGAGATGCAGGTTCCATCCCTGGGTCGGGAAGATCCCCTGGAGGAGGAAACGGCAACCCACTCCAGTATCCTTGCCTGGAGAATCCCATGGACAGAGGAGCCCGGCAGGCTACAATCCATGGGGTCGCCAAAGAGTCGGACACGAGTTAGCAACTAAACAACACTAGCATAAAGTCTACTATCTTAACTGTTCATGATGGTTCAGTAGTGCTATCTTTATCCACATTGTTGGGCCATCATCAAATCACCACCATCATCTCTAGAACTTTCTCCACCTTATAAAACGGATGCTCTGTCCCCATTGAACACTGACTCCGGGCCTCCCAGTCCCCGGCACCCACCCTTATAACAGTCTGTCTCCATGAACGTGATACTCAGGACCTCATCCGAGTGGAGTCCTACAGTGCTTGTTCTTTTCTGGTGAGCCTATTTCACTTAGCATAATGGTCCCAAG